GCCCGCTCCCTTAATGACCTCCATTGTGCCAACTGACACATGAAACATTTACAATAAAACAAATGTGATTAACTCCTTAACTCCAGAAAGCCGCTCCCAGAGGCTCGTGATCGGAACTGCTGTGCCGGTGAGCCGCTGGGATACTGGGGTACATTCCTTTACGATGACTTCAATATCAAATTACTTTTCGACAATTGCTGAAAATAGGTCTCTATTATGAGGAGTTCAGTCATTAGATGAAGAACTATCAAAATAGTTTGTTTTTTTAAATTTAACACATTACACCCTAACTCGCCCGGGACCACCTGCAAATTCCCTTACGCGCTCCACCCTGACTCGCCCGGAACCGCCCGCGCCGACCTAGCGTAGTTAGAAACGAAGTCTCGCCTTGACGAGACTCTGGGGCCGAGATTTTGATTTGCATAGTTATTGCAAAAAGTTTCTTCTTTCGTTTGATACCGAAACAAAATTTTTCAGGCAGGTAGTTTTAGTATTAGAGCCGAATGAAGCGCGATCGTGTTACCGACACTTCGTAGGTGTCTCGACTTGTTGAAAAGCGACACAATTGAGTTTGAAAAAGGAAATAACGATGGATTTGAACAAAAACAAGCATATGACAAATCAGATGACTCAGATTTTGATGAGATTGTTGTAGCAAGAGTTTGGGGCGATTCCGATTGATCAGACGTAGAAAATCTAGAATTTAGATCTAGGGCCCGACCGCGAGGCTGAGAGTGAGAGTGACGGGTCGGACACCCCGATTGAACTAAAGTTAGAGCATTTCCAACAGTTTGCGCTTACATAAAGTTATATTTTTCTGAAACTACATTCATTTTCGTTTTAACTCTTATTTTTTCAGGATTTTTGGAATTTATTTAGCATTTTTAAAATGTGTTTTTTTAAGACTTGTATTCACAGGAGGCGGGTTCCTTCCCCTTGCTTAGGATCTAACAATGGACTCCCCGTCCAGACCCTTAGTGTGTAATGTGTTAATGACCCATTTAGTGATGTTTTTGTCATTATTAAATTTAGTACCAAAAAAGGGCCCCGACGCAGTGGGTTTATTCCCCTCGGAGATAAAAAGTTAAAGAAGAAAATGACACAAGTGTGTCAAAGTAAAGAGGTGAGACTATCTACGTACATTGTGCCCAGGCCTGAGCCAATGGCCGCCCCATCAGGTTCCTTGAGGCTGTCCTGCTGGAGGGAGACACCTGGGAAGTTCTGCCGCACGCATCGAGCGATTGTCTGGGACACCTTGTTGGACAGCTGGGGAAACAACGTGGTGGTCAGCACTACAGGTAAAGTATCTCCAAAAAGCTTAACACTCTATACAATTAAGATATCTTGGGTTGAAATCCGTATCTGAAAGTTGGACTGTGGAAAGTTAAATGGGCTTTCCATCCAATCTTAAAGATGGAAGTCCTTTCTGAGGTCTAACGATCCCTTAAATGCAACCCATTTTGTAGTGATTTGGAAGGAAAAAAAAGTAAGTCATGGACCTTCATAGATTTGGAAGGGAAAAAAAATCAAACTAATACATGCATTCCAACACAGCACACAAGACTGGCCGTAATGAACAATATTTTAACGACACTGTCAAAAGCCTTTTGACTATCTAGCCCTGTCCAAGCCTTGGAAGTCTTTTAGGTAGCTTTCTCATAGTCTTCAGTCTTCTCTTTTCATCTATCCTTGGAAGAATCCTTTATCAAAAGGCATCCATAACTTCTACAGTCAACATTAAAAGACAACTAAAAATAAATAAGCTTGTTTCCATGACAACAAGACTGTTATTGTTTCGATATGTATTGAGCAAATTTTAAGCACAACCCTAGCATATATTCTGTTGATTTCCTGTATTTAAAAGACAAGAACAGTTTCAAACACCACGCGACAAACACCCTGCAACTTACATGAGCTGGCAAATTTCCCGCTACAAAAGAGCGACTGTAGACCTTTGACAAGTCTCCTCTGAGGCTGAGTGCATCCGGCACACCAACCAAACCCTGGGTAGGCTGGGATGTGACCATCACCTCACCTCCACCTTTAGGAAAATAGCCCCTAGAAGAAATTGTTAAAAATTCATGAATAAATTAATTTATTCATTAATCATTCATGGCCTACCTATACATGAATTAAGCATATGAAGTCACTCAAACCCTACATTTCTAATATCATCATTGCAAAAGACCTTCCACGACTTAAGATAAGATACATCTTTATTGTCCAGATCCTGATACATTGGTTTGGTGTTTAACCAAGTACGCACACACACGCACATACACACACACGCGCGTGTATCACACACACATACACCCACACACACAAACATGCACAGGTATGCATACGCACGCACATGTGCACACCCATATACACACACACACTCTTCCCTCACACATACTCTCTACCACACACATCTGTGCACATAATCATTATAATATAATAGTACGCTTGCACTCACAAACAGGCTTACAGCATAATATAAAAGAACAGTAATATAAACAACTAGCTGGGCCCCCTTTCGATGAAAGGAATGATCAGTGCTTTAGTATCAACCAAAAATAATTGGCCTACTATATTTATCCTCTACTGGAATGGGACAATAAATCTTGAGAGATGCAAACAATTAGAAGGTCTAGATCTATACTCTCAAGTCAAAATGCGCCTCGCAAAATATCACTTCCGGATTTTCTAAAATTACGGAGACAGAAGCGTCGGCCTACAAAAGCGATCGGCGAAATAAATAAATTTAGCTTTATGAAGCAAAACTGTTTCAAAACTGAAAAAACCAAGGGCGTCATGATCTGGAGAATATTTTAAAGAATCTTTTGGCGAAAACCGCATGTCGATCGATGAAGCCATTAAAAAGCCTTTTGAATAGCAAAATTCGGCCACCACAAATAGATAATAGAAAACAATGTTAAACTAGATATGTATTCAGTATTCTGATTGCAACTCAATGGTATTCTGATGCATGTTCTAAAGTCATAT